ACAGATGTTTGAGCTAGCGGTGCAATATGTATCATTATTATGAGTATAGTGTATAGTATATTATTATATAACGGGGGTCGAACATTGGATCTGGTAGTGTAATAATAGCTGATTGAGGAACAAGGGAGAGAGAGGGGGCAGGGGAGGTGAGTGCGGAGGAGATAGGCTAGAAAAACGAACGGGTAGATTGTAGATAAGAAAAAGAAAGAAGAAAGAAGAAAGAAAAGACAGACGACACAACACACGACACACACACACTACACGACACACAGCACACATGCGAGCACACAGTTGACACGCATCCGACACGGAAGGTTGCACACACACACACACGAGCACACACACAGCGAAGAGAGAGAGAAAGAAAGAGAAAGAGAGAGCAGGAAAGAAAGAACACGCTCTTGGAAGAGAGTGAGAGGGGGGTGATAGCTGGCAGAGAATGACTCATGGCACATATAGGTGCGTGCGACGGTGTGAAATATTACCCGATATTTAGCGCCTAATGCTGCGATGCAAGCCGATATCAAAAGCCGTCGACATCCATTTATTATAACTGCTTAAATAGCTGGCAGCAGTTTAATCTAATTTGATTTCCCGCCTCGCTTTTGATCTCGCGACAACTCTCGCATCATTAACTCGCAACATGGCGCTGCGATCGGTTCAGATCGGTGTGCGGATTATAAGATATCACGTCGTCGTACGTCGTCGTGAATATATCCCGACGATTGCAATATATACTACTACTATATAGATAATATCAGGAGTGAATAATAATCGATTATCTATATTAGAATAATAGAATGTCTAGATTAGAATATCTATATAGAATATCTCCTGATAATATACTGTATAATAGAATAATGTTCATTGTATGTTTTGTATATGCCTTTACCATTGCAAAAGTTGGTAATTTGTTGTTTGTTCTACATTTATATATTACATATTTTGTAATTATTATTATTTGATTAATGATAGTATCGGTGTATTGAATTCCTAGGATAATGGCGTTTTTCTCTAAAATATTTAACCGTCGGTAGCCACATGATACAAACCAATTGCATACATCTCTCCATACAGTTTTGACATGGTTACAGGTTGCTATTAAATGTAGGATCGTCTCAGTTTCTTCATTACAAAAAGTACATAGTTCTCTCTATCAGTTACGCCAATTTAAAAAAAAAAATTTATTTGTGGTAAGAATTCGATGTCGTATTTTGTATTGAAAGTACCGAAGATTTGTATAGCTAGTTGAGTTTATTAATATTTTGTATGTAATTTTCCAATAATTTTCGTGACTTTCCGGCCGAGTAAGGAGTTCAGTATTCCAATTTTTGCTGTGATTTTATTGGTGTAATATGCTTGGTTCTAATTGTTTCGTAGTATTTTCTGCATCTTTTTTTTACTGTTAACTAGCATTGTTACTGCTGGAGTTGCACGCGGGGCCATGTTAAGTTGGTGTTCTTTGATTGAATTTATTCATTCTGTAGGTATTTGTCTTATTAGTTTTTTATAATCTAAGTATGTTCCTTTAATATTGTATTTTTGTTTCAACTCATTCCATGTCAGTAAGTTCCCTCGTAGGTCATATATATCTCCTAGGTAAACAATACCCTTTTTGTGCCAGGGTCAAATATAATCAGTATTGATATTGCTATTGTACCAAAGCGGCTGGTTTACAAAGTCTTCTATCGTGGATGGATTTAGCTTGTTGTTGAAATCAGCCCACGCCTCAATTACGCTTTTCCAAAAGGGGTTGTGTATGTGTAGGTTCAACTTTGCAGCTCCTACACAATAGAAATCTTTTGGTAGGGCTGGTTCTATTAATGTTGCTAAATAAAAGGCGTCGAAGCCATGATATTTTAAAACTTTTTATATAGTTTTTTTTTTTTTTTGTTATTTTTAATCCCCCATCTTCGTAATTTTGCATTAGGATATCTCTCTTTATTTTGTCTCTTCGTTTATTCCAGATAAACTTAAAGCACATAGTTTCTATGTCTTTAATGATTGCAGGGGCGGGATCTGGGAGGGATATAAGCGCGTGGGTTATAGTTGGTAGTACTAACGATTTAATAATTGTAATATTTCCTAATGGGGTTAGGAATTACGTCCTTGCCGTATTTTTAATAGGCTCTTCTATTTTATTCATATTTGTATTAAAGGTTATTCATAGAATGGTGAAGCTGTCATTTTGTATCTATTTAATATTATTTTCTCTGCAAAAGCGTCTGTCAGACTCTTTCATTGAGCCTATCCATACTAAGTTTGTCTTATCATAATTGATTTTTAAGCCAGATATTTGGTAGAACCAGTGGAATGTGTTTTTGACTTCATAAATAGTATTTTCGTCGTCCTCTAAGAACAGTGTTGTATCATCTGCGAAATGTGTAAGTTTATGTTCAGCATAACAAGAATACTTGATAGATAATATAGATACTATCAAGAGTACATAATAGAGATCTCTATTATCTACTATATCATCTACTCTATCATCTACTCTATCATCTACTCTATCATCTACTCTATCATCTACTCTATCATCTACTCTATCATCTACTCTATCATCTACTCTATCATCTCTATTATGTACTCTTGATAGTATATATAATATAGATCGCCGCCGCACATTCAATCTCGTATCTGTGATATATATATATATATATATATATATATATATATATATATATATATATATATATATATATATAAGAATCCAATAAACAATCAACTATGAAAAACGCGGAAGCAGAGACGCAAGAAGAGAGCTGAGGCTTAACTGCAAGGCTAACGGGATATTATTAGGACATACGAGTATACGTTGCACCTCTCACCTTCACCTCTCACAGAGTTACGTTGCCATCTCATGGAATGTCCCCTATTACCAGAGCACCTTGAGGTTTTCAACCACCGTGCCAGGTCCTGCGTGCTGCAGTGGCTAGGTCGTGTGCAGTGGAGTAACCCGAAAAGAAGAAGAAGAAGAAGAAGACAGTGCAATGTGAGGCTTTCGCCCACCGTGCCAGGTCCCGTGTGCTGCAGTGGCTAGGTCGAGTGTAGTGTAGTGAATCGAGAAGAAGAAGACAGGGTTACGTTGCGGGCCCGAGGCAAAAACGGATATAATATCGTAACATTTCTCCGCATAACGATCCAGCAGTCCGTGCTACCAGGGGACAAGATCACGCTACGGCTGAGCCATAAGTCAATGCGATTATTGATTGGCTGTGTCGGGGAACGACCGTGGATGCCACCTGAGGCGATCTGCAGGAGATAATGGGGGCTCTTATAATCATCTCGCGTGGGGAGTCGATATTATATAGCTGGCTTACAGACACCACACTACCCACCTTACAGCCCACCGTATACATTGGTATACCTATCACTACTTTATACCTATACACATATGTAGATGAAAGGCAGAATATATTTCGACAAAGGCAGCAAAAAATTTCCTCTAGTTCAACGCCACTATAGTTTTAGTTGCACCCATTTCAAGATCAGCGATTTCTGCCTGGGGCGGTAAACATCAACATTATCGACCGTCACGTGACACGCCCGGCCACCAATCAGCTCGCACGATTGCCTCTCGGTAGGTGAGGAGATGGTAACCGCCAGGTGGCGACACACGCAGCGATGCTGTTGTCGATATCGCGCGTAGACGTCGTGCGTTGCGGAGTACTGCTATGAGGCGTTAGATAGCGAGCATAGGACGCTCTCAACCGTGTGCGGGAATCTCGCGTGAATCTACAGCGTCGGCGTCATGTAAGGGCGCTCTACTCTTGTCAGTGTGAATTATGAATGAACAACACGCATACAGGTCATCATCATCATCGTCGTCGTCATCGTCACCGTCATCATCATCAGCAGCAGCAGCAGTATCGTGCAACGGCGGCAGCATCGTCGTCGGCGGCATCAAGACGCACGCAGACGTACATCTCGTTGATCTAGCTTGGCTTTGTTGCACGATGTTCTATCTGCAGGTGTCAATACTCAACTCGAACATACTGCTGCTAGGAGAGTGAGGCAAAGCGAGTGTAAAAAGGACAGAGGAAAAAAGAAAGTGAAAGGAGAAACAGGAGAGCGAGAGAAGAGCAAGAAATAGAGTCAGACAAAGAGAGAGAGAGAGAGACGCATACTGATATACAGAGAGAGAGAGAGGGGGAAAGAGAGAAAAAAACAGAGATAAAGAGAGGAGAGAGCGTGAGTGCGCGCGTCCGAGAAAGGAAAAGATAGAGAGTCAGACAGACAGACAAACAGACAGAGAGAGAGACGATTACGGACGAGATAGAGATAGAGAAAGAAAGCGAGAGAGCGAAAGGGGAGGGCGAGAGTGCAAGAACGAACGAGCGAGCGAGAGAGAGGAGAAAAGAGAGAGAGAGAGAAGAGAGAGAGAGAGGAGAGAAGGAGAAGGCGAGCAGAGAGGAGCGCGCGCGCGAGAGAGAGAGAGAGGGAGAGAGAGAGAGAGAAGAGAGAGAGAGAAAGATAGAGAGAGACACACACACACAGAGAGGGAGGGAGAGAGAGAGAGAGAGAGAGAGAGAGAGAGAGAGAGAGAGAGAGAGAGCGAGAGATATACCGACGTGGACGCACGAGACTACCATCACAGCTGTTGCCTCGTGAACATGTCGAGGACACGTCTTCACAGCTGTCTCATGCTCGTCATGCTCGGCCACGCGATAGTAACAGGTACGCCAGAGTTCTACCTTAATAAGATGCATTGATTACCTAATAATGCGGTCCTTATGTTAATCATTGTCTGTTACAGTTTAATTACTGTCTCAGTTTCGCACGTGTAGAAAAGATTTGTACGGTAAAAATAATGTGCGAGATGAGTTTGAAATTATTATAAAATATAAATAGATTTTACCAGCTAGAAAGAATTGTGCTTCATCGCTGAACGGGAAAATAGAGCGAAGTCTAGAAGATGAACCAGGTTAATTATTAAAAACGAAAACAATAAGAAAGTACCGTATAATTATCAACGTTTCTTTCCTTTGTCTCTCCCTTTCTGTTCTGTCTCCCATTTATCTTCCGCCCTTTCTTCCTAGTTCTCTTGCGTGTTCTTTAGTTTATTCAGATATCTCTCTTCCTAGCTCTCTTTTGCTCGCTTTTCCCCTTCCCTTGCTCTCCCCTTATCCTCGCCCTATATATGTTTCTCCCCTTAAGCCTATATCTCACGCACGTTCTGTAGAACGGATTATAAATCTGACGTTGCAATGAACTTCTGGATGCCAGGCTGTCACCATTTGTAACAGCGGTAGCATATATATTCTATACGACAACTGCATTACTCTCAGTTGTTATTCGTACCCCTGTTGTTTTAAAAGAACTCGTTCTTAAACACGAGTATAGTTACTTTTGAACTTATAGAAAGATACACGGATATAACCATCGATTCATCTGCCTATTCACACAGTATTTACACATTTCATTTCTAACTGGAAACGATCATACCCATGTTAACACAACAGCATTCTAAACCCGTTGAAATCTATCAGAGTTCCTCGTGTTTGAAGTATTGTTGACATAATAACTAGCACACAAGGACACAGTCCGATACGTGATTGAGTACAATTAAGCAGAAAATCCTGCGGATTAGTTGCTATTTCCCTTATCACCCGAGTAAACGTTAATCCCAGCTGATGCATTAGATGATCGCGGATGAATCTGTGTTGCTGAGGTGCGCATGCAGGTGTGTCGCGTGCAACCACCCAGCGTTGCTCACACAGACAAAGCGAATCTGATCTCGCAGTCGCTAACCGAGCATCCTCCCGCTAATCTGCTTTAGTTAATGACATTTTAATATTTCATTAGCGGACGCTGCGCTCGCATCCATCGCAGGCCGGCCGCTACAAAAACATTGCAATCATGAAAGAGGCATGCGCCGCGGTAGATACTGTGTGTGTCTTACTTGCGTGTGTTACACCGACTCATGCAGCTAGCGCGGGCTGGGGACGGGGAACGGGTGCGGGGGGCGGGGGCGGGCGGCGACGGGAGAGGCCAGGGAGGTCGGGGGCGGGGGGCGAGGGGCGGCGGGCGGGGGGCGGACGGCGGTCGCGGGCGGCCGGCGGGGGCGGGGGTCGCTGCTAACACCGGTAGACGTGGATGCTGCATCCCCGGGAGAATGCCAACCTCTTCGGTGTTAATTGCATGGCAACTCGACTGCAGGAAATCATCACCCGATAGCGAGTTTGTTAGCAAATGTCGTCAGAATATCTGCATCGTCTCTGTCCCGTAGCGGCTTTCACGTCTGTACGCGGTAGAGGTGTCGGCGCGTTAAGATCAGGTTTCGCATTCGTTTAGCGCATTCTACAACGACGAGAAACACGCCCACAAAAAAACCACGTTTACCTGCGAATTCTGGATCGATATTGGTAAGACGGAGATATGCGTATACATTAAACACGCGGGGGAATAAATCAGTGCACACAGGCTGAGATCCTCTGTGGTGAGGATGCAATAAACACTACTCGCTCGTAAACTCATCAACGATGACATCTCATCAACTCTGCATGACTCGGCCATGTAGGTAGCAGCTTGCTATTACGATAAGGTCGTAAAATCAACTATCAATCAGATCATGACTGCCGCCTACTCTAATCAGCTTAGCCTCATTCAGCTTCTTCTTCTCGGGTCACTACACTACACTCGACCTAGCCACTGCAGCACGGATGGTCAGGAGTGTATAATATAAATCTAGATTACATATTCTCCTGATGTGATGGGACTAATTTGACAAATCGTACACCATAGAGGTGGATACATGATGTACAGACAGCAGTGGCAGTACATATGATCAGAAGTCTTCTTCTTCTTGAGTCACTACACTACATTCGACCTAGCCACTGCGGCACACAGGACCTGGCACGGTGGTTGAAAACCCCAAGGTCTCCAGATCTACAGAGCTCTGGTCTCTCAGCTAATATACTTATATGTCTTAGCTGTATACTGATCACTGTTAGGCTTCGCAGACTTAGATCTAATTCTGCGTCTTGCTTGGACATTTCCCGTTGCCTGTGCGTATGTATACACGACTACCTTCTACCCTAGCATTAGCTAACGCAATATCAAATATAGGTTAGCATAATAATAGCATCTACAGATTACAGACGCATAAACAGCATCAAATAGCATGATTGAATTCTGCCACTACAACGCGCCATCAGTCGTGGGCATCGCTGTTGCCCCGTCACCACCATCTTGGCTGTTTTTGTTTTTAATGGCGCGTTCTGTTGTTGTTAAGTGCTCTTGTTGTCGTTGTTGTTGTTGTTGTTGTTATTGTTTTTCCTTGTCGTCATTGTCGCTGCTCGTGTTGTTGTTCTAGCTGTTGTTGCTGATAATGTTATTGTTTTGAGAAAATATTTGCTGCTGTTGATGTATATAAGCAAGGAGACGATGATAGGACGATGATTACTCCTAATATTAATATTAATAAAATATTAATATAATAATTTCTATTCCTTACCTCTCCTTTAAACCTTTGTAAAAAAAATCGCTACTTTATCGAAACTCGTAGCGATACACCATTAAAACATTTTATTATAATCATAGATTTTTTAGAACGCTACTTTATCAAGACTTGTATCGTTACACCATTCGTAAATGTTATCATGATTTTGGATTTTTTAGAACGCTACTTCATCAAGACTTCTATCGTTACACCATTCGTAAATGTTATTATAATCTTAGATTTTTAGAACGCTACTTCATCAAGACTCGTACCGTTACACGATTCAAACATTTTATTATAATCTTTTCGATTTTCTTTGATTAAAAAAAAATTCGAAACCTTACGACCGTCTTGACAACGGGTCTTGGTTTCTACAGCAGCAGCAGCTGTCACCACCGTGGAACGACCTGTCGCAGCGTGTAGGAGAGTATGCTCAGGTACGATCGCTACAACGCAGACGACAATAATTGTTGCCAACGACAGCAGCGCCACCACCGACACCATGACGACCGTCAACGCTTCAATGAACGACACGACGATGTCAACGTCAACGTCAACAGAAATAGGTAATGTGAGACTGATGACTCAAACAGGTAATGTGAGACTGATGACTCAAACAGGTGACGTGAGACTGATGTGTAAAATTAATTCACGTGAAACAGAGTCTGTGACATCATGCAACATATCGCGCATTCTCCCGCATGATATATATATACACAACGGCAGCTGTTCCTTAGGAACAGTGTTATAGACGCGGCTGAAGTTAGTAGTTGTAGTGTATCTGTTAGTGTTTTTACGTAAAACATACATTATCGCTTGGTTACATAACCACCCCGCGCCTACGTTTCGCCGTCAGACTTATTAACGACTTCGTGTTTCTCTCACGAAAAACAGAAGCCGATGAGAACACGACCGCTTTGGCCAGACGCAAACGACAAGCACCCGAAGTCACCACGGTAGCCATAGAGAAGGTTGTCACGGAGCCTGCTGCCATAGAAACGGCCATCACCGAATCCGTTTCTATGGAGACGGTTGCTACGGAGCCTGCTGCCATGGAGACGGTCGTTACGGAATCGATTAATATGGTGACCGCAGCTACGGACCTTGCTGCCCTGAACACAGTCACTGCGACTTCCGTTGGCATGGAAACAGTTACCATGGATTCTACTAACATAGAAACGCGCGCGCTACAGTCTACTAGCATGGAAACGGTCGCGACGGGACCTGTTGCCACCGAGACGGGTGTTACGGATCACGCTGTCATGGAAACGGTTTTCATGGAGCCTGTCGCTATGGAGACGGTTGCTACGAACCACGCTGTCGTAGAGACAGGTGTCACAGACGCATTTGCAATCCCTGCAGCCGACTATACTACAGTTGCGGGTGTTTCCACGGATGCGCTTGCCATCATAGCAGCTAGAGGTGTGACAACAGTGGCATCAAACCCGGATGCGACGACGTCCGTCGGTCAGCTATCGGACACCAGCGACGCTCCCCCGACGCTCAGTACGTCACCAGCCGACAAGGTCACGGCAGAGGTCGTAGCCGACGTGACGTCAGTGAGCATGGCGGACGTGGCGATAGCTGCAGGTGGAGTGACGACGGACAGTAATGGCAGCACAGCCGACGTCACGACAGGGATGACGGGCACGGAGGATGACAACACGACCAGCGACGCCGCGGTCAGTGCGGACATGCTGTCCACTACGATGACCAGCGGCCAACTGGATGACTCTAATGCGACCGACACGACAGATGTGACGACTGCAGCGCCGACGACGATGGCGATAGAAACAACAACGTCGTGCGAGTGGGAATGCGATACGGTGGGTGTCCTGAAACTTGTGTCCATATCTAATATTTCAACCAATTCGCTCTTAAATTGAATTTTTCTTTTGAAGTTTCTTTGAATTTATTGAGGATAACCGTTTCAACAATTGGCTCGATAGTTCTCTTTTGTGTTCCGTCATAATTTTCATTTCCATCATTGTTTCCGTCATTTTCCATTCAATCCGTATTATTAAAAATGCAGAAATAACTCTTTCTCTCTGTGAAATTCTCGAATACTATTACGCATGTTTGAGTGATCAGGTTTTAAACTTGCTGATGACAGCTTTACTGGGTAATCAAATCGAATGTTTTGATGTCAGTCTACGTAACGCAGCCGTTGTAGAGCCAGCAATTTATATGTGCCGCCTGGATACAGTCGGCAGGCGAATTTCAAGTGAAGAAATGTGTAGTTTTGCGCTATTATTTAAGATGTTTGAACAAAACAAATAAAATTTATCGAAAACTGTAGAGTGGGGGTTTCTTTATCGTGTAAGTTTCATTATTTACGTAGCTGATTCGCAAATACAATAGATTTGAAGCAGAGTTTCTAGACACTACACGCGTCGATTCGTGAGCTCATTGAAAAGGAAGATAATAACTGCTTAAAGATAATTGGAGAAAAATCATCAATGCATGCGA